GAGTTTAAACATGTTGACTGCAAGACAGACGAAAACACTCTAGAGCATTTCACTGTTGATATAGGTGGCCGATTCCGTTTAAACTGTTCACGCAATATCACTTTTATACACGGAAAGACTAATACAAATAATTTAAAGCAAGACCATATGAATGGTTGAGAATAATAATGACTCACGCCGAAACCGACTCTTTTTGCTCGGTGTCTAGTGGCTAAACCGAAAGAGATAGTTGTAAAATTTCTTGATGTAGTTTGAGATTTAGTAGTGATCTCAGAGTCGGTTTCGGCGTGAGTCATTATTATTCTCAACCATTCATATTATTCTATTATCGCATTAAAACGTCTGATAATTGAAGTGAACGACTGATTTTGTATGAGAGAGAAAGGCATGAGTTTGATTACGCTAATGTCTTTTCATTATAAAATTATTGTGTTCACTTCAATTATCAGCTATTTTTAAACGATAATCACAGTTGGGTTAATAACTTCTAAATTTGCTTTTCACGCATTGTTTGTTATGTAGGTTTTGTTTACGCAGATGTTTGTGACGCAAACAATACATCGAGCTGCAAACCAATTCAATATTTGTTTATATTGACTTTTTAACGAAGTTTGGCATGTGTCTACCCGGAATTACTTCCAAGTCACTTCCAAAATACAACATCAGATCAATTTACAATTCCTCCTCTTTTACAGCTTTCTAGAAACTGAAGAGCCACTGCATCAAGTAGACCACAAGTAGCATTGTACAGTTAGTTGGTAGGTACGGACTCGGGCAATAACACTCGGCGACACTCGGTCGATGTAGTCAGTACCGCATTGGATGGAGATTGAAGAGCACCAAAGGTGAGGAGTTGCGCTGTGAGACGCTGGAATGTGTGGTTCATTTGATGCAGTGGCTCTTCAGTTTCTCACAAAATCCTTCTGAAGTGTGAAAAAATGATCAAAATTGTAAACGGCGAACATGCTTACGAGTTATTTGGTGAGTTTTGATTCTTGATTGGTTTGATGACCGATTTAATCCTTATTTCAATTTTTTTAGATTTCATTAGAAATTGGATCGCCCCTCAAATGAATATTTTCTCTACATTTGCTACTTTTTGTCAATTTTTGTAAAAAGAAGCACCAGTGTTTTGCATTTTTAAAGACCAGTCAAATGACCAAGAGTTCCTGTTCACGTTCCTGTGATGCCAAATGCTCAAGAGTTCCTGAAAAGGAAAAATTCAAAAATTCCGGTGAAGAGCGAACAGAATTTGAAAATAACATGGGGCGAATTCAAAATGTCAAAGAAGCTTTTTGGGGTTGCAACCCTAGGGCTGCCACTGTTTTGGATTGAAATGAAACTTGAGACTAATGAACGGCTGCCAATATTTCTTTGTGTTTTGTTTGAAAAAGTTTGGGTTAAAAATGTTTAGTTGCTTTATTTTGTTGTTTTGTTTCTATTGTTTTGCCTTCAATATGTACCAACTTAAAATTCTTGTGTATGATCGTTATGAAATCGACATCAGTTATATTTTGGGTTTTAAACTAAAAACATTGCAAATTAAGTGAGTTTTTGTCATTTAGTTGAAGAAAAAATTAATAACAACACACAAATGATTGTATATACATTTTTCTACAGAGTATAAATTTTGGATTTGTACGGTGATTTTGGATTTGTCTTCTGAAATGGTTTTATATTTTCAATAAAAAACGTAGTTGAATAAACCAATAACTGACTGGATGGTCTGTTTTCATTTTTAATATTCACGAAACAGTCGAGAGGAACCAGGTTTTATATTTCGTATAAAATGGTTTTAACTAAACGAAATTTTATACAAAATATAAGAATTTATTCATTTTACCGTATAAATCCAAAATATAAACGTTTTACCGTCTGAAACTCTGTTCACACTCTGAAGAAGATAAAAATTTATATAGACTCCTTTGAGTTAATTAACGTTCTGTAATTTTCTGTATTTTTAGATCTAAATTTTACGTTCGCAGCTAAATACTCGAGCTTACTAAAAAAAATGTCACTACAACAGAGTTCTATTTCAGAAGCGGACGATTTTGATGGGGAATTTTCTGTCAATAATTTCTCGGCAGAAGATCTTGAAAATTTACTTTTATCACTAAAAAATGGTTTGCTTAATCACTTTTCAAAGAATTTTGGAAGTGATTACCTAAATGAGAATACTGCAGACTGTTATTTTCTATGTGGGTCTGAGCTTGTGCCGGCTCATAAAGAGATTTTATCAAGAGCGAGTCCTGTATTCAGAAAGAAATTTACTACTAAATCCCGGATGGATGTTGAAACATGTGCCGAAATATTTAAGGAGTTTTTAAAACCAATTTATTTGGTTAAATCAACAGTGCGATCGAAATATGTCAGTGAAATAAAAAAGCTTGCAGAAATGTATGAAGTAACAATCATACTTTTTTCTGACATGGACGTTGCACCGGAAACCGATTCACCGAAGCATATATTAAATGTACTTAACGACGATTGCATTCAAGCGATACTTCAAAAAATACAGAATATTGAGGGTTACTTATATGCGGCCGAGGTGTGTCAACGATTTCGATACAATGCGAGAATTGGACTGCTCGCACAAGGTAAACATCTTTTAATCGACGATCGAATTAATCTTGAGTTTTCGCAACGGTTTCTTTGTTCGTTCGGTATGGAAATTCAGTCGTTTGAATGGCGTCGAACCACGGAACATTGCCTTGACAACAATATTTTGAATACAATTTCCGTTTATTGTGGCAAAACATTGAAAGAATTTAAAATAATGCAACACGATTTAGATTTTAACACCCGAATGCCATTTGAATCGCTTGAAAAACTGACCCTAGTCGGAATTTGTCACATTCACAACTTCACATATCACTCAAATTTAACGAGCTTACGATTGATTGGCGCTTTAAGTATGGATATAAATCGATCTTATCCAAATTTGAGCGCAGCTTATTTTCGCATTGCAAACATCACCGACAATCAATGCGAGCAATTTCTGCAATTTAATCCACAACTGAAAAAGCTCGAGTTACATTCAATGCAAATTACGTCAAAGATCTTTGAAGTTATATCCACATTTGGACATAATCTCGAACATCTAACGATTTCAATGCATGACCATCACTTTGACGGAAGTCTTCGGAAATTGGCCAAATTACGGAAATTGAAAACCATCAACTTTGCGAAAAACCATCTGATGTCACGTCCACTTCTCGATATGATTGAATCCTTTGCCATGAACGATGTACGTATTGGGAAATTAAATATTGGTAAATTCAAATTAACAAATATACAAAGTATAATTAAATTAAAATATTTGACAAAATTTTATGTTGGAAGCATTTCGAAGTTATTAATCATTGATCTTGTTCGACATTTACCAAATCTCACTGAATTCTATATTAAACACACGGAAATGGATACACATGAACTTGTCAATGTTATTGAACACACAACCAATTTAAAGAAATTTGAATTTTATAATTATGCTGAAAATTTACTCAATTGGGATGATTATCGTATGATTGCATCAATTACAAAATACAAATCCATTAATCTAACAATGTATTGGCTGCGACCGTTTGTTGATAGAGACGTCTTGGAGATTAATAATTCAATGATTAAACCATTTTCACTGGAAAATATTCAGAGATAGTTATCGGTTCATTTCGGTTTTTTATGATTTTTTTTTATTTTACTATTTTGTCATTCATTACGAAAAAAATATAAAAGATTATTATTATTTATTAAACGGATCAAACGGTAGATTTTTTTTTGAATAGAATGAGTTTTTGGTTTGAATGAGTTAGATCGCTTTTTTGCGTAATTAGTTAGAACATTTTTTACCATTTAATTGATATTGAATTTTTTGAAACAACCATACTGAGCCAGTTAAATGTTTGGATATTTCAGAATAATTCAAATATAATGCTGACCTGTAAAAACATCAAACGACACCAATAACTACCGACTTATGTGAGTTCGTGCTAATATTCCTGATTTTGCTGCAAACACTGCATCAGTTCTGTCAACTCGTAATCGTAAGTATAAAAGCTGTGAACTTTATTTTTCAACACTTTTGTGGTAAATAGGTCCGATTTGATGGGCGAGCAAAGAGAGACTGATATCGTTAATTCCATCTTGCCATCATTTTCAATACCATATTCTTACGACTAATACTAATGAGATAAAATGGCGCTTCGAATTAATGACTGATACCAAAGGTCACTTTATTCACACAGACTTTTGTCTGCCAGAGCTTGAAGAAATATCACTATGACCTTTGGTGGAAGGAAATTTACACAAATCAAATGGTGGTATATACCACACATATATGTGTGAGGAAACAAGGGATATGCGTGTTTGTTTACCTGACTACCTGACCGAAGTTCATTTATCAAATGAGGCTGTCTAAAATTCTAAAAAAACTCATTCTTAAATCTAAACCTCTAATCGTGTTTTCGATATGAAATATGCAAAGAAAATATGGTTTGGATTGTTTTTTTTACTCAATACAATACCTTTCACATCCTATGAGCGCGAAAAAGTAAAATTTATATCAATTAATATGAGTATTCATATTCTGTTGTGTTTGTTATGTCGTTGAGAAAAAATTTGAGAAAAATTTGTTCGAGAAAAAAATGAGTTTCCTTCGAATCGGAGTCGAACCGATGACAAATGGATTTCAATGCTACGCCACTACAGTCCACTGCTCTACCAACTGAGCTACCGAAGGTGCTAATCAATGAACGACTGGATTTAGTGTCGATTACAACGAATAAAAATGTTTAATTCATTGAAGGTATACAGTTATACGCTATCTTCTATGAATATTAAAACACACTGAGAAAGTTAGAGAAAGAGCGAGACGTGGACTGATAATGTTGCGACATATAAAAAAAAACGCCAACAACAAATCGATAATAGTACGCTTGGGTCATTTTTCGTTGAATCTTTTCAATGAAAATGTTTAACATATTAAAGACAATATTTTTTTTTTAAATAAAAACATTAATCTTATCTCATGGTTTCGATTACTTTTTTTTTTATTAAAACTACTGTCCAAACTATTTTACATTTATGTTTGAATAAAATGTTGCGTCTGCATTCATTTCAATCAAAATTCGTGGTGAAACTCACGATTTCGATGCAAACACTATTTCAGTTCCGTCAGCTCGTAATCGTAAGTAAAAAATATTTAAATTTTTATTTTTAACACTTTTTTGGTCATAAGATCCGATTTGGTGGGCGAGTAAGAGAAGACTGATATCATCAATTTGAATACCATATGTTCTTTCAAAGAATATCAATGTAAACTTCAATGGCACTTACTAAATGCTAATTTAGTGAAAGTGGTTGTTTCTACCTAATGACTGATAGCAAAGGTCACATTATTCACACAGACTTTTGTCTGCCAGAGCTTGAAGAAATATAACTATGACCTTTGATGGATGGAAGTTTACACAAACCTTATGGTGGTATGTGTGGACAAAAGAAGGGATATATGTGTGTTTGTTTACCTGGCTATATGACCGAAGTACTCATTTAGGACAAAATCGTTCGAAAACATTACAAATTGTGACGAATCGTTCGGACAACGAGCCATTTTGATCAAAAAACATATTCAACTCGCTATGATTCAAAAAAATAAAAATAAAAGCCATTTAAATGTGGATTAATGTGGTTCAATTTTATTTCTGAATAGAAGAATATGTCAAAAATGCAATAGGCTATATAAAGTTTTCTCTTTCATTTCTATGGATGTGGCCAAACGATAGGTTCAATCCTATCTAGATAATATGCGACACCCACAACTTTAGCTCTAGTTGAATTATTGATGGGGATGTACTGGAGTAGACTCTCTACTCTCTCCTTTGCAAGTAGACGTTCTGCTAACTCGTCAAAGCAATAATATTAATTTCAAATAATCAGAGCAGAGACTTATTTGTTTTAGCGCATGGTGAGACTTGTTTTAGTACCATTAATCGATCTCATTCCAAATTATACAGGTTGACATCATTTGAAGTCTCACGTTTCAGTTAGTTTAATTGGTTTCACACTAATTTCAAGTGAACCATCTGTTTGAATGGTCGCATGGCAACCAAAGTAACACATCGAATGTTTCATCAATTTTGCACGTGTGATCATTATTATCATATTTTTTACATGTCATTTCTCTTCCGAAATGTAATTCTAAATATTGTATTGTTCGAGAGTATGTTTTGAGCTATCTGCACAGCTGCTGTTCACCAAAAAATTTACGCAAAAGTGAAAGAGCACAATATTCAACTCTGTATTGTTCCCCCAGTAAAGAGGAACGCTAAAAAGGAAAATGAGAAGTAGGAGGAGTGTGCCAATCCTCCTCATTTTCCTCCTTATCGTTACTCCTTCTCAGAAGAACAGTCCCTATTCGACCAGAAATCAACAGTAGTGACTAGGCAGTTAGCTCAAGGCAAAATCTAAATTATTCAGTTCCACATGACAAAATGAGGTCTGATATTATTTACAGCATTCAAATTATATTGATCATCAACATATTGAAATAAATGGATTCATATCTAAAAAAAATATTGTTTTTTTCATTAAACAAATGTTTGGAAAATTACGCATTGAAAAAGTAATATATAACCGAGATGAAGTTCTTGACATGAAGTACATTCAAACGAAAGAGCAAATAATGTTGAATCGACACATTTTCATTTGGTTTATGGTCGGTTTTCTAACGACAACGGTGAGTAAAATCAATTGGTCATAAAATCGAATTACTTTATTTTACAGAAAATATTTTCAGTTTGTTGATCATGCTGATGGATTACCTAGTTTCGGATTAAAAAATTTGAATCCAATGCAATATGATGTAATAAAACGACCTTTAAAATGGTTCCAATCACCTTCACCAAAAGAAAATCTAATTAATACTCACAATGTACCTGACGAGCCGTCCGGACTGGGTGAAAATAAACCCGTTAAAACTAATGTCATAATGGAAGGGTTCAAAGAAACTAACGAGCAACAGCAGCAAAAAACCTCATATTTCGGACTTAATAAATTAAATCCTTTGCAGAATGACATTGTAAAAAAACATCTACAATGGTTTAAATCAACGCCCCCTAAGGAAAAAACAGACGATAATTACGAAAATCAGCAAAAACCGAGGGCACCGTTTGGTGTTCAAAGTTCACTCTCACCGTCTGGTACTGCAAAAAAATGGTTCCAAACCACTTCACCGAATACGGTGATTAATCCCAAAATATCGGACTCAAAAGCTCTTGAGCCAAGCCCGGATCTTACAAGTCTAAATCCGATGGAGAATAATGTAGCAAAAAGGACGATGAATTGGTTTCAGTCGTCTCCATCCAACGAAAATGACCGACATATTTCAAAGAACCAGCAAGAACCCAGCGGAACACTTACCTTTAAATTGAATGACTCAATGCAATATAATTATGTGAAAAAGTGTCTTGAATCAACTCCGTCAAAAATGCAACAAAATAAAACGCTTGAATTCGATTTGAATAAATTGAATCCAATGCAGTATGAACTGGTGACAAAGTCTTTGAATTGGTTTCAATCACCTGTTATTCAAAATGCTGCTGTTTCTTCCGAAAACCACAAACCAGGCGGAATATTGACGTTTAAATTAAAACATTTGAATTCAATACAATACAATTTCGTGGAAGACACGATACAATCGTTTGCAGCATCTTTGAATAAGGAAAATGTAAAATCGACGGAAACGGGTGGTTTGCCGACTTTCTCCATCGATAAATTAAGCCCAACTCAGTATGACCATTTAAAGACGATTTTGGGATGGTTTCATCCAATCGAAAATGGGGCTGACAAAGAACAACTGAACCTCTTTTCAACAAAAGAACCAGTAACTAAAGTGATTCATTCGGATATTTCATCAATTGAAAAGAAACAATTTGAAAAGAATGGACAGGAGCTACGACTGGCAAATGTGGATCTGATGCCGGTTTTAAGTAAATCACCCCAAATGAATTACGTATTAAATTCTGGAATTATGTCACAATCTAATTCATTGGTTAATGAAAAACAAGCTCAAAACAATCGCGACTATAAACCAGTAACGCATGAAGGAAATAAAGTGAATGGAAATGTCCGAGAAGCAATTGATTTTGAAAAAACACACAACAAACTTACACAAAATATAAATGATAACATTCCAAAAACAACTAAGGAAAATGTTTACACTTCGGGCAGACAATTTGAAATTCGACCTAAAACAGTGTTAAATTCCAAATTATCGTCACCATTTACTCAAACCATCAATGAGAGAAGACATCACAACACATCTAATGAACAAAAAGATCATACGGTGAATCCAAAAACATCTCCATCTCTTACGGTTTCTCCAAAGATTGATTCAAGTCAATCAAGGTATGATGAAGTTGCGATACCATTGGACGGTAAAGTGCACAAAATTCCAGTGACAAATGTCGATCAAGCCCGCAGATCATTTAAAATGCAACCAGATTCAGTGGAAAATTTGAAAGAAAAATTCCAAAATCAGGCGCTTACCTCCGAAACTTCACCATCAGTCACATCAAAAATTGACGTGAATCATTCGCAGGACAACGAAATCGCGATTCAATTGGATGGTAAAGTTCACAAAATTCCATTAACAAATGTCCATCAAGCTCGAAAGCAGTTTCACATCCAACCAGACTCGGTGTCAAATTTGATGAAAGCATCCCAAGTTCATTCAAAATCTTCACCAGTGGCTTTGTCAAAGATTGACTTTGGTCAATCGAAGAACAACGAACTCGCAATAGAAGTGGAAGGTAAAGTTCACGCAATTCCAGTAACAAATGTCGATCAAGCCCGCAAACAATTTAAAATGCAACCAGTATTAAATGTAAAGCCTCTCTCACCTGATGTAAAAAGCAATCAAAGTACGCGTAATGAACAGACCTTCACCAAATTATCACAAGTCCAAAACTTGGGGTTGGATTCGACATATTTTCCGTCGACTAATTCAATGATTGATTCGAATCAATCTCGAGATGATGAAGTAGCACAGAGATTGGATGGTAGAATTTCATTGACAAAAGCCCGTACAGCTGATCGACAAGCTCAACCAGATTCAGTGTTAAATTCAACGGTTCGGTCTTTGCCAAACCCAGCCATAGGCGAAAGCACAGTGACTGGACATATATTGAATGAAGACAACCCGAATGGTTTGAAGAAAACAAAAGTAGAACAAGAATTGAGTTCAAAATCTTCAACGTTGCCCACTAATTTAAATCAATTTCAAATCACTGAAATAGTGGACAAAGTCGATGAAAAAATCCACAAAACTCCATTGACAAATGTTCATTCCTTTCATATAAGAAACAGAGAGTGTCAACCAGATACAGTGTCAAATATCTTACCAGAGTCGACTCCACCGATTGATGAAAAAAGATATCGAAGCAGACGTAATGAAGAAGCATTATTGAATAAATTATCACAAGTTCAAGTAGATCGTGCAGTAAGCTCCAAAAGGCCGACACCTACTTCAGATTTAAATCAGTGTGAAAATGAGGGGCCAGTGGAAAAAATAATGAGCAAAATAAATGTTCATCCGAAGCGGGATTGTCAGGCTCAAACAGAATCGGTGTTAACTTCTAATGTGTCACAACCATCAACGCTAACGATTGATGAAAAGAGGTATCAAGGCACACGCCATCCTAGATCTACCGAAATCCAAACAGATCAAACTGTGAATTCCGAAAAATTGCCATCATCAACATCGAAGACTGATCAGGCAAAAAGAAACGAAAAGAATAAAATTCCATTGAAAAATGCCCATTCCTTCCATGTATCGGAGAGAGAGACTCAAATTCAATCAGATCCAATGTTGAATCCCGAGTCTTTGTCATCGTCGATATCAGCTGATGGCGAAAAGAAATATCACCGCGAAAGATCACAGACATTGAATAAAGAAACCACATGTGGATCGAATCAAGCATCCAAAGCTCAAGGCAATCAGAGCATTTATTCTTTGCCGTCTTCAAAAACCAATTTGAAACTTCAATATAAAACTAACGAAGCACAACTTGATGATAAAATACATAAAATCCCGTTAAAAACTGTTCATTCTATTCATATGCCAAATAGGTATGATCATGTGCAAGAGGAATCAGTGTTAAATCCGCCATCGACTCCAACTATTGACGAAAATCGATATCAAAGCACACACGAGAAAACACCTCGAATTCAAGTAGATCCGGAGCTGAACTCCGAACATTTTCCGGCAGCGACTTCAAAAACTGATTTAAATCAATCCGAAAATGACGAACCAATCGAAGCACCCAATATGTACAAGACTCCATTGAAAAGTGTTCAGCCTTTCCATGAGTCGAGCAGAGAGTCTCAAATTCAAACAGTTACAGTGCCAAACTCTAAGCATATTTCGCCTTCAATTGTTGATGAGAAGCAATACGCTCGAAATCAACCGAAAATTGTAGATATAAAAAATTCCAAAACTTCATCAACTCCGGCTGATAGATATAAAATCAAACGCCGTTCGCTTTCATTGAACAGAGAATTACCAGATCAGCTGACAAATTCCAAAACTCAAACAACATCAATCGATGTACATCAAAACACTCAAAAAGAGTCAAGTGACAATAAACTTCGAAAAACTCCATCGTTTCGTCAAGCACGAATATTGAGCCGATCATCACGTATAAAATCGTTTGCGAGGTCAAGTTCCCACTCAGCACCATCCTTCGATGAAAATCATTCCCGAAGCAATGACCCTGTGGAAACAATGTATGGTAAAATACCAGGAAACAGACCTGAAACACACGTTTTAAGCATAGAACCTCGTACCCAAACAGAGCACCTATCATCATCTGAAATCAATAGAAATAAATCGGTAGACAATGATATTCAAAAGGTGGAACCACGCCACCATACAGAAACATCAATGAATTCATTGTCACCGCTTGAAAAGTCTGTGAAAAATCCAAGTTTGCTTACGGTAAAAGATAAAATTTGGCTAATTGAACATGGTCAATGGGGATCAACGCGTGGTTTTGGTCCAAATCCAAATCACAACAAACATTATGTGGAACATAAGCCAAAAAATTACAATCAATCACGATTGTCAACAAGAAGGCATTCAATTCAATCGCATCAAAGTTAGTAATGAGTCATCAAATACAACGTAATAGTTATATCACAGTATAAAACATTTTTTCTACGCAATATTTTTGTCACCGAAAGTGGAAAAAAATGGAAGAAAGTAGAAAGTTTTGGCAAATTCTAATGAATTTTGCCATAAAAATGTCAATTAAATCAATTTGATACAATGTTTTTGTATATTTCACAATAAATGCCATTTCATCAGATAATTTTGTGTGTGCCTTTCACTTTTTTTGAATACGTGTTTTCGTTTATAATTGAATTGTTTTGGAAAATGTTTGAAATTGAAAAGTTTTGATGATTCTGAAGCGTTAAACCTGCAAGCGGCTCAATGGTCTAGTGGTATGATTCTCGCTTTGGGTGCGAGAGGCCCTGGGTTCAATTCCCAGTTGAGCCCGAAAGTTTTTTTTTTCATTACCAATTTTCTTTTATTTTATATTTAGAAGAAAGAGAGACATAAAATTATGGTCATTCATTAATTTTTTTTCTTTGGAAAAAAAAATTGGAGCAATTTAATGTGTAATTAGGTATGGTAGTGGAAAAATATCAAGGAGAAATGAAGAAAACAAAAGAAATGACGAACAATTTATATATATATGACCTTTGTTCGATTTTTTTTTTTCAATTCGTAATGACTTTTCACATTTTTCAAGTTATTAGTAAAGAGTTTCGAGAATTCAATAATTATTAAAAAATAACAAAAAGTGTAGAATGCTAAACTGAACAAAAAATGACAAGCTCAAATCGTGTCGCTGCTTGCTGTTTGGAATAATTGTCAAAGGTAGCGAAAAAAAAAATTGTTTTCCAAATTGAATAATTCCATGTCAATTATCTACGTCTCAATGGTGAATTTTGTAAACAAATTCCACGACATGTGCTTTCACGTGGTCAAAGTGCGTATGTCAACTATATTAGTGCATTTCAACCAAAACAATGGGAAAGTGTGTGTATTTTGTCAACTGTCACATTTCATTTGACATTGGTTGGAATGTCAAAAATTCCACTGTCAAATGAACGATTTAGATTGAGGTACAAATGTCATCGAAATCATTTGTTTTCTAAACGTCACTGAGTAAGGTTGTATATCGCTGCAAAAGCGAAACTACGTCTACTTGGATAAAAAGTGAGAAAAAACCCCACCAAACAAAGTATTTGCAAACAATTTACATTTCAATTTGATTATTTTCAGCAACAATCGGCTTTATAATTAACTACAAACGGCTATTTGTTGCATACGACCGAAATAGAGTGGAAAGGATTGGAGTCGCACGAGATAGAAGCCCTGTTATTGTGTTCATGCTAAAATGGAGACACGGTCACGTAAACGTATGAAACTGTGCCATGAAGTGGTGGAAGATCCAACAGTGTCTGCTGTATTCAATGCGACAGAGTTCATGGACATGAATGATGACGTTTTGTATGCGTTGTGTCAACGATTGCCGCTGAAAGATTTATGTTCAATAAGTCGAACGTGTACACGATTGCAGCAATTGGCCGGTGAGTGTTATCAACGTCGTTATCCAAATAATCGTGTTGACATCGAGGTATACAATTGGACAACACCAAATGACACGGAAATCAAACCGAAATGGGAATACCGTACATTGCCAAAAGAAGACTATGCCAAAGCATTTCGTGGATACATTCGGAACGTCAGTTTATTTATGTTCAACATGAATGCCGATCCCATGAATGCATTTCGATTTTTGAAATCGAATTGCTATGCAAATCTGCGTGAATTGACACTATACCGTATTGTTTGCAAAACAGAATCGTACGGTAAATTGATTCAGACGCAATTGAAGACATTGGAAAGTATTTATTTTGTAAATTGTCACATTTATGATTTATACGGTGCCTTTCTCAAGCATTGTCCGGCATTACGGCAAATTTTCATCCAAGAAACACGAATTGTAAAGGATTGCACCATGGAATGGACAAAACATCATTATCCACAATTGAAACATTTTACGTATCATTCGCATAATGTTCTCGTCGACAGTTTGGACGATTTTCTTGGCCACAATCCACAAATCACCAACATTGTTTGCTCCAGCACAAAACTATATCGATTATTACAACAAAAAAAATTCCCATTGAATTTATTGCATGTCAAATTGGACCGTGAATATAAATTTCATGTGCTCTCGTACGAAATGGAAAGATATTGTGCACTGGGCATATTGAAGCGATTGGAAGTATCGTTTCTAAATGGATGGGAACCATCACGATTCGAAATTGGACGCGTTGCTGAATTATCACCATTGACACAGTTACAGGGATTACACGTCAAACAAGTGGCCAAAAAACTCAACTTTGCCAACTTTCTGGAGGGTTTCAAACAATTGAAGGTGCTGAGCATTGGCATTGATCATATTTCAAAGAAATTACTACAGGTATTGTCACGATTACCGAATCTCGAAGAATTACATTTAACCTCCTCATGGACTAGCGAAAATGTTTGCGGACTACGTTTCAAGGAATTTGTACGACCGTTTGCTGTTCATGCGACAAACATCAAAATAATCTGCATCCGGAATGTCACAAGTACTGCGCTAATCACCGGCAATGATGTTGTCGCCATTCATACGTTGCGCAAAAATACAACGAATCCACGTCCAATCACCATTTACCTCGATTATAAAGTCATTGAAGATGCTACATACAACGAACCACCATCCAACAGTCTGGTGATCATCAAACCATTCTCACAAATGACGCCGGAATATCGAAAAACCTATTAAATTGATTTTAATAGGGTGATTGAACTCGAACCTGTATATTTTAGTATAGGACTTTCTGATTCAGTAAGATTTATGTTATTTAGTTTTTCTTAGAAACAGGAATTTGATAAAATCTTAATACTAATTTCTCTTTCGAAAAGAGAAGACAAAAAAAAACAATAATTTCCGAAAAAAACTTTTTTTATGATTTTACCAAAAAACCAATTTTTTGTTTCAAAAATGAAAATAATTTTTATCGATTTTCATTTTGGGTTAATTTACTCGATTTTTATGAAAATCCCATTTTTAATTGACATGTTTATGAACATTTTTATGTTAACCACAATTATTATGTTAAAAATCCGTTATTCAAACGAATTTCCGAATAAATATTCTACCGATCAACAAGGTAGTTTAGTTGAAAGAAACGCAGCGTTGTTTTATTTTTTAAATTGTGAATTTATTTTTCAACAAAAATATTTTTTTTTTGCAGAAATTTTCACATTTTTCCTTTTGAAGGTATTATATTGGAAAGGTATTGTATCAGAATTTGTTTTGAATTAAAAAAAAATAAAAATAGAAAAATAGAGCATTTGGAAACTATCCGTGAACAGAAATGTAATGAAAAAAAGTCCGCGAAGGGAAAATATGTGATTTTTTCCAATAAAAAATAGATTAGATTTAAAAAAAAAAAAATTATAATTTTCTTTTCATTAATTATAAATACAAAAAAATATTGTGGCCGACAAGTATGAAATAATCGTCATTAGAATGATATTATTTTTTTGTATATGGAAAAAGGAGCATTCCAATTGAATATTTGTGAATCACATAAAAAAAAGCCAATATCAAGCACGAACTGTATAGGTGTGTGTTTGTGTGAGCGGTGGCTAATAGTTGTTAAAAACAATACATGCTTTGACTGCGTCTGTGTGATGAATATTCGACAAATACATACGTACACGTGAAAATATTGTATGCAGCTCTCTCTCACGCTTGAATACATATTGTTTAGTTCACATAACGGATCGTTGGTCGTGCTCACTGTATTCAATGTCAAGTCTCAAGTTGCAGTTGCTGTTCAACATAACCTCCGAATCAAATCAAGCGCAATTAAAAGTGTGCATACCATTTCTAGTGTCGAAAAAGAACAGTTTCAGACAATTGGCAAAATGGATATAAAGCCGTACAGTTTGTTCAGATGTAATCTGTGCCAAGCAAGTGAAATCCATGAAGCGGATTTAACAAAACACCACCATCAATTCCATCCACATATTCCGTATGCATCAAATCACTATGTTTTTCAAAGAATGGTCGAGACACGTGCCGTGTGTAATATTTGTCTTGGAAAAATGCATTTGGGCAAACGAAGTGATCACCATCAGTCCAAACATCCGGAATGCAAATTGGCCATTATTGATATATTCGAATTGATTTTCTTCGTGAAAAGGTCGAAAAATGCTGGACCGCGACGTGATGATGTCATCACATGTAGCCGTTGTACGAAGAAAATTACTCGTGGTAATTTTATTGATCATTTTAATCGTGAACATCCGGAATGTTTCAAATCAACTGGAAATCATGATGACAAGGAAGACAATGCATCGAATTTGGATGGTGACGACGATGACGATACACTTGAATCGGCTAGAATCAACCACTATAAGTGTGGCTTGTGCGAACAGTCCTCGATTAAGGAAGGCAACCTACCAAAACACCACAAAAAATTCCATTCAAACGTGCCATATGCAAGCAACAAGTTCACATTTGTGCATTCGGCCGAATGGAAATTTAAATGTTGCATTTGTTGTGATGTGATCGATCATACGTTGCAACAGCAAGACCATCTTCAAAATGTTCATCCAGGAACATTCACCAATGTTCGTTATCTTTTCAATCGAGTTCAATACTTACGTTTTGCAAATGGGAAGATTTCGTGCTCTGACCGGAATAAAGGCGACACAGTTTTTTGCCATTGTTGCCATTCAAATTTTCATCGAGACAAATACATTGAACATTTCAAACGTGCACACCCAAAGTGGTTTGAACAAGGCGATCGAATGGCACCAATCAAGCAAAAAATGACGCCAGCCGAGGGAAAGAAGAATGAAATTAGCGGTAGTCAGACCATCGATCAGGTTAGTTGTAGTACAAAAAAAAGAATTTTGAAAACTTTTTCAACAACCATTTACTACTGGTATTATTTTTGGCCCTATTTTCACATCAAAACACATGATACTTCACTTCAATAGGATGCTGGCCAAATGTTGACATTGGAATCACATGGTACCGGTACAAGCGAGGAATGGAAACCTCGCACTCCGAAAAATTACGGTGGTACTGGTTTCAAAGGGGAAATGGTAAAAGCTGATCAAACCAAAAGCTTGTCTCTTGACCATGGTGCAATGGTAAGCCTGGTAAATTCGCTGAATAAATGACTCAAAATGGATTTTCTTTTGTATTTCGTAAATAGGATGCAAATCGTAATAGGAAATGGGAAGCAGAGACATATCCAAATGAAGTAAAGATGTCTCGTATCGACGATGCCTAATTCAAAAATTATAAAATTAAAATTTTCCTTAAAAATTAAATAGAGCACATTGGCCAAATCAACGGATGTGACACCCAAGACACTGGCAACCCGTCTGGCACAATGGAAAAACTGAAAATCGAATAACCGAATAATTAAAAATAGACAGGTTTCTATTTTAATCAAAACACATTCGAACTATACCCAGTTCCATTTTCATGATACGTTTTTTTATGCAAATGCATACTCTCAATTTATTGAAAAATCTTTTTTTCGTTAAATTCAATTTTTTTCTCGGATATTTTCTCTAAATGTCGACAATTTTCTTTAATTTTTTTTCTGAAATTTTTGAATGACTTAAAATTCAATATTTTAAAGGATTTTTCATTTAATATTTCTACCTCATATTTCCGTTAAAAGTGCCAAAGATTTATAGGCGGTACAAATCATGAAAAACATAATGAATTTTTATGATTAAATAAATTTAATAAATATGTTTATAACATACGATAACATAAAAACTCAATCAAATCAATGAAATAGAATAAAAACTGAAATAATAAAATGTTCAACACAAAAATTCAAGTATTTCCAGTCTGTTATTTATTCCAATCTTTTGAATTTGACAGAGTTACGTTTTCGACGTAAAGTGTCAAATCACATTGTGTGACATTTTACGTCAATTGGCTTATGAAGATAACCTCTACATGTGTTGCTTTGATTGAATGTTGTAAATAAAAGTTAGCTATTGTGTTTTTTGTGTAAAAAAGTAAAATGCAAGGCATACTTACTTAGAAATTACTATTCCATAACTCTAAAATTCCTGATCCATTCCTTCGATTCATTTTCCATTCTGTTCCATAACTTATTGATTAATTTCCATTTTTTGCATTCTTCTGATCAACTCTAGGTAAAATGAGTAAAATGGATTGTCAAAATCCAAGGGATTTAAAGCCACACAAATTATTCTCGTGCATTTTCTGTAAAAAGACTAAAATTCACGAAAATAAACTTCGTGAACATCATAAAAACTTTCATTCGGACATACCATTTGGAACTGATCAATACGTTTTCCTGAAATCAGTTGTGGCACATGAACAGTGTATTGTTTGTGAAGAAGTGTTTCCTTGTTCGCGAAAAGCACAAGAAAATCACCATAAAAATCATCACAGTGAATTTGTTTCATGGAAGGATATATTCGAAATAATATTTTTGACGACAGATAAAGGCGGTGTTCAAAAAAGATCACGTCAATGCAATAAACTATTGTGTCATCGTTGCAAAAAGAAAATTGTTCGAAAAGATTTTTTAGAACATTTTGAACGTGATCACCCAAAATATTATTCACGAACAGGTAATCATGTGGCAACAAAAAAAGGAAAATGTCATGATGCGAGGATGGACGGTGCCGATGAAAATGATGATGAACATTTAGAACAGAATGGACAGCATGCAGTTGTAAATGATATCGCCGAAAATAATGCCGGCAAAATTGATGCCAATGGGGGTTATGTCGTTGGAAATGGTGACAATGAATTTACAAGCAATAATAAACTTTTACTCTCTAAAGGAGCAATATACTACAAATGCAAACTTTGCCAAAGTGAATTTAGAAAAAAAAAGAGGCTTAAACATTACGCCAAAGTTCATCCAAATATACAATTTGAACTGAAAAATGTCACATTTGCAAAAACGATTTTAACAATGTTTCAGTGTTATCTTTGTCAAATTATACTTAATAAAACTGAGCAACAAGAACACCGACAAAACTGTCATCCAGAATTCGTAAATTACAGTGATTTATACGTTCAAGTTCGCCACATCGATAACATTAGTAGAGGCACCAAAACGTGGTCAGTGAACAAAGATGCGATCATAGTTCGTTGTAATGTATGCCGAAAATCCATTGACCGAAACAATTATGCTGAACATTTTCAACAAGAGCATCCGGAACGTTTGACATCATCTGAAATTCACAGGAAAATCACGAAGGAAATCAGCTCTGAACGATTACATGAGAACGATGTGGAAGGAAATGATGGCAATAATAAAAATTCTCCCAGAAACTATGCAATCATTGAAAAGTTCTACAATTGCTCAGTTTGCAATACAATAATGAAAGAAAATAATCTGCGTAAACATCATAACGACTTTCATTCAAATGTCCCGTATGAAGCAATCAATTTCACACTTACAAAAATGTCTGAAACAATGTACCAGTGTAGCGTCTGCCAAAAGACATTGCGTCGTACAGATCGACAAAATCACCAACAAAATTATCATCCAGAATTTGTATTCTTCCTTGATACGTTCAATCCTATTTATCACACTCATAATGTAATAAACCATAGAAAACGATGGTCACAAAACAAAGATGCGCCTATGATTAATTGTTGTATATCTAAGTGTCGAATGACACTTGATCGAAACGATTATGTTAAACATTTTCAAGAAAAACATCCACAACGTTTGATATCAACCGAAGGTGACATGAAAATCAAGAAGGAACCGGGCTCGAAACCAGTGGACGTTATGGAAGCAAATGAACTTAGTGACAAAAATGATCCTTCATTTTTGGAAAAAGATGATTATGTCACCTGTAATATCTGCTACAATGAAGTGGTGAAATGTTATCAGCTCGATCATCATGAAACCGTCCATTCAAAAATTGCCTATGACGTAAATAATTTCACACATACAACATCGGTTGTAACAATGTTTCAGTGCTTTCTTTGTCAAGTTGTTTTGAATCGTACGGAGCAACAAAATCACCATGAAAATTATCATCCAGAATTTGAAGACTTTAACGATTTTTTTTATGAAATTTGCTTCGTCCATAATATAACAGCCGACACAAAAAAATGGACTTTCAACAAAGACACGAACGTATTTAATTGCAAATTGTGCTGCTTAAGTCTCAATCGAAACAATTTTACTGAACATTTTCAAAAAGAACATCCGGAACGGTACAATCATCCCGAATCCTCAGTGAATATTGAACCACCTGCAAAAATAAAAAAGGAAAAAGTCGATGGAAAACCGACTGACGATTCGATTGGTACAAAAAAGAGAAAGGGGGAACCGATGCCATCTGTGACGATCAAGAAGGAAAAAATCGACAAAGAATCGGCCAAAGATGTGGAGATGCCGTGTGTAAAAATCAAGAAGGAAAAAATCGATGCAATCGACAGAGAACTGATAAAAATTGGTAAAAATCCGGCCACCGATACAGAGATTATTAGCTATTTCAAATGCACTCTTTGTGGTAAGAACAAAGTCAAAGGGAAGAAACTGCTGAAGCATCACGACAAATTCCATTCAGGTATTCCGTATCAAGTGAACACCTACATTCTTAATACGAAAGGAAGGAAAACACCTGAAGCCTCGGACGATGATGTTGCAGAGCCAAGCGAACCAAGGGAGGATGAAGAAAGAACAGCAACCAAAAACGGTGTACAAATGGTGAGATTTTAATTTGAACTTAGGTTAACACATGAAAACTAATATTCCTTTTTTGTCTATTCACCAAACAGAACACAAGTAATACACAAAACGAAGACCAAAGCCAAAGTGAAGCAATTTCGATGGACGCACAAAGTATCGATGATCAAAAAGAAAAAGACGAAATGATGACCAAGATAACGAACGGAAAAATCAACGACGCTGGACGTAACTCTTCAAGTGGAACAAGCGAACTATTTACGATTGCCGTTAGTTGTGCGGAATTACAGCGACTTCTACAACAAAATCGCATTTATTCACAAAACGGTCAATTCATTTTAAAAGATTCTGAATAAATTAAAATAGTCTCGGTATCAAAATATAATAGGACGTTAAAGAAAATTTGTTAATTTTCTAAATACAAATGTCAATTTTTCATGCGAAACCCAACCATGTTTTAGGAGAATTTTCTAATTTTTTGTAAATAAATTTGTGAAAAATGTGATTTTTCCATTAAAATAATTTATTCTATTTCAATTTCTTATTAGAATTCATGGAAGTGATGACTTAATATTGGTCATGGTAAATTAGTTTGATCATTTTCGAATACTTATTATTATTTTTCACATAATTTTTCATCTGATGACCACAAAATTTAAATAATTCCATTGAATAAAATTTAAAATGAGTAAAAGTCTCCAATTTCCAGTCTGTTGCTTATTCCAGTCGTTTGAATGTATACTCCAGTTTCTGACATAAAGTGTCAAATCACATTGTGATGACATTTCATCATATACATCAATTTTCACACGAACATAACCTCTAATTCAAGACAAAAGTAAATAAAAAGTCAGCACTTGTATTTTTGATTAAAAATGCGTCGTGAAATTTTAAAGCCGCAAAAATTGTTTACGTGTGTTGATTGTAAAAAGAGTAAAATCAATGAAGATAACATCCTTGAACACCATAAAAAGTTTCATTCAGATATTCCATATAAAACCGATCAATACGTTTTTCTGCAGTCAGTTGTGGCACGTGAACAGTGTATTGTTTGTGAAGAAGTGCTACCCCGTACACGAAAAGCACAAGAAAATCACCATAAAAACCATCACAGTGAATTTGCTGAGTGGAAGGATTTATATGAAATAACATTTGTTACGACTTATGCAAAAGGCAAAGAAAAACAAACTCTACAAAATCGAATATTACACTGTCGTCGTTGCAAAACGAGAATTGATCGAAAAAATTATGTTGAACATTTTGAACGTGATCACCCAGAATATTATTCACGAACTGGAAATCATGCAATGACGAACGAGGAAAAACGTCACGGCCCGAGGATGGACGGTGCCGATGAAAATGATGATGAACGTGGACATTCAGAATGGAATGTACAAGATGCAGATGTATATGATGCCGGGAAAAGTGGTTCGAATGGAGGTTATGTGGTTGGAAATGGTGACAGTGAATATTGTGTCAATGACAATGAAGTGACTAACAAAAATGAATCTTCGCTTTTGGAAAAATATACTTTTTTCATATGTTCAGTTTGCAAACAAATTCTTAGAGAAGATTATCTACTTAAACATCATAATGATAAACATTCAGACATGCAATATGAAGAAAAAAATTATTCAATTAACAAAACGGTTGTAACAAAGTTTCAGTGTTTTCTTTGTCAAGTTATATTGAATCGTTCGGAGCGACAAAATCACCGAGAAAATTGTCATCCACAATTTTTAAACGTCAGCGATGTATTTGATGACATTTACCTCTCGCATTTGATAAGTCTGGGAACAAAAAAGTGGTCCGTGAATAAAGATACGAACATAGTCAATTGTCATTTATGCCGAATATCCATTGAACGAAACAATTATGCTGAACATTTTCAACAAGAACATCCGGATCGATTGATGATGGAAACCAGCTCTGAAGAAATGCATGAGAATGATGTGGAAGGAAATGAAACAAACAGTGTCAGCCAACACTCTGTTGTTGTACATCGTGACGGTGAAAATCGTGCCAATGACAATGAAATAACTAACAAAAATGAATCTTCGCTGTTGGAAAAAGACAATCATTACAAATGTTTACTTTGCAACAATGAAATAAAAGAATCCCATCTGTTCAAACACCATCAAAAATTACATTCAACATTTCCATATCAAGCAAGTAATTTTACACTTATAAAATCGGTTGTAACGATGTATCAATGTCTTATTTGTCAAGTTATACTGGAGCAGAGTGAACAACAAAACCACCAAGAAAATTATCATCCTGAATTCGTAAACTTTAACGACATTTTCAATCAAATTCGCCTCATCCATAATGTCACAGATAACACAAAGAAATGGTCTGCGAACAAAGACACCGTGTTTAATTGTAAATTTTGCTGCTTGAGTCTTGATCGAAACGATTATATTAAGCATTTTCAACAAAAACATCCGGAACGTTTGACATCATTGGGTAGACGCATGGAAATTAAGAATGAACCCAGCTCGGGACAAATGGAAGTAAATGGTGTCAATAGTGAAAATGCTCTCAGAAAATATGGAGTCATTGTAAAGTTTCACAAATGCTCAATTTGCAATATACAAATCAAAGAAGATAGTCTGCGTAAACATCATGATGAGGTTCACTCAGAAGTTGCCTATCAAGCAAGCAATTTCACGCTTGCAACAACGTCTAAAAAAATGTATCAGTGTTGTATTTGCCAAAAAATACTGAATCGTGCCGAGCGAGAAATTCACCAGCAAAATTATCATCCAGAATTTATATTTTACAATGATACATTTATTGGTATTTGTATGATGAATGATGAGAGAACAAACAAAACGACATGGTCATCGAACAAAGATGCGCTTATGATTCGATGTAATGCATTTAGGTGCCGAATGATATTTGATCGGAACAATTATGTTAAACATTTTGAAGAATGTCATCCACGCCGTTTGACATCAACCGAAAAAGACATGAAAATCAAGAGACAACCCGATTCTGAACCAATTCACTTTATGGAAATAAATGAATCTTCAGCTGTGGAGAAAATCAATTGGTTCACATGCTCAACTTGCGATGCTGAAATGTTGGAGGCTAATCTACTCAGACATCATTCCACCTTTCATTCACAGATGCCCTATGATGAAAAAAATTTCACACATACAAAAGCGATTGTAACAATGTTTCAGTGTTTTCTTTGTCAAGTTGTATTGAATCGTACGGAGGAGCAAAATCACCATGAAAATTATCATCCAGAATTTGTAGACTTCATAGATTTTTTTAGTGAAATTTCCCTCGTCCATAATATAACAGCCGACTCAAAAAAGTGGACTTTCAACAAAGACACGAACGTATTTAATTGCAGAGTGTGCCGCTTAAAACTCAATCGAAACAATTTTATTCAACATTTTCAAAAAGAACATCCGCAACGTTTGACAACAGCTGGAAGTCATGAAAAGGAGCCCACCTCCGAATCGATGCATGATGCCAATGACGACGATACCACTGCCAACGATGACGTTCCAATTCCAAAAAAAGCAACGTTCTACAATTGTAAATTATGTTTCCTTTGATTCTTTTTCCATTATCATCATTACTCATTGATTAATTTCCATTTTTTCCATTCTTCTGATCAATCCTAGGTAAATTGTGTCCTCGCAAAAAAGAAATAGAAATCAATGATTTATCCGAGCACCATGCGAAGTTCCATTGGGACATACCGTATCAGCAAGATGATTTCATATTTGTACGATCGATTAAAAAACGTTTTCAATGTAATGCATGTAACACGGTGGTCAGACCAAATGATAGGAAAAGCCATCATGAGCAGTATCATCCAGAATTCAAAACTCGAAAATATTTGTTCAATTTGATACATTTGACCATTCTTCCTGAAAATCAATTGAATTGGTCGAAAAATAAAGACGACGAACATTGTAAGCTATGCAATGTCGACATTGAACCAAATACCTTTGTTGAACATTTTAAAAGTAAACATCCGGAATGGTACAACCATCCCGAATCCTCAGTGGAACCTGTAAAAATTAAAAAGGAAAAAGTCGATGGTACAAAAAAGAGAAAGGGGGAACCGATGCCACCTGTGAAAATCAAGAAGGAAAAAATCGACAAAGAATCGACCAAAAATGTGGAGATGCCGTCTGTAAAAATCAAAAAGGAAAAAATCGATGCAATCGACAGAGAACTGATTAAAATTGGTAAAAATCCGGCCACCGATACAGAGATTATTAGCTATTTCAAATGCACCCTTTGTGGAAAGAACAAAGTCAAAGGGAAGAAACTGCTGAAGCATCACGACAAATTCCATTCAGGTATTCCGTATCAAGTGAACACCTACATTCTCAATACGAAAGAAAGAAAAACACCTGAAGCCTCGGATGATGATGTTGCAGAGCCAAGCGAACCAAGGGAGGATGAAGAAAGAACAACAACCAAAAACGGTGTACAAATGGTAAGATTTCATTTTGAACTGGGGTCAACACATTCAAAACTAATATTCGTTTTTTGTCTATTCTCCAAACAGAACACAAGTAATACACAAAACGAAGACCAAAGCCAAAGTGAAGCAATTTCGATGGACGCACAAAGTATCGATGATCAAAAAGAAAAAGACGAAATGATGACCAAGATAACGAACGGAAAAATCAACGACGCTGGACGTAACTCTTCAAGTGGAACAAGCGAACTATTTACGATTGCCGTTAGTTGTGCAGAATTACAGCGACTTCTGCAACAAAATCGCATTTATTCACAAAATGGGCAATTCATTTTAAAAGATTCTACCTAAAAGAATTTAAAAAATATGTACAATTCATGGTGGACCCATGTTTTAGAAAAATACTTTTTTATACGATTTTTAATTACAAAACAAATAAAAGACTTTATTTTCTTGTTACGTCTGGCTCTGTTCTTTTCTGTTGGCTCAACATATTTTGTTCAAAGGATTATTCTTGTTTAACGTCATTAAAAACGATCCAACATGGACATTTATGTGGACGATTTGACATTTGATTTTTTTTTTCCCAAAAAAAATCGTGTTTGTCAAATGGATATAAATAAAGGTATAAATATTTTCTTTTGGTGAAGATCTATAAAATTTATTGAAAAAATTTCTTTTAAAAATTATCAAAATTTATTTACAACTACAAATAGACGAAACAAAGTTTTATTAAACGTAGAAAAGTTTATTTATTAGCATCATATTAATTGAATTACTGAGAAAATTCTTGCTAATAAAAAAACATAAAATTGCAAAAAAAATGTGTAAACTTATCAAAACCACAAAAAATGCATTACATCGATCAGTCTTAATTTAAATTGCAATTATAAAAGAATTCAGCCAAAACCTTGTTTGTTACTGAACAGAAACTGATGTAGTTCAGTTTATCTAGGTCATAAACCTTCTTTTCAATTGTAGTATTTTCGTTGATAGTTGTACGTATCGTCCCATCTATGAGTAACAATGGAAATATTTGTCACAAATTACTTAAGCACGTTTAAATAATAATCGACTGTATCCATATGTAGTATTACCTGCATCGATTTCAATCAGAACTTCATTTGGTTCGTTATCTCTAATAATTCCTGGTGTGACTAAAGATTTTAACCGCTCATCATTTTGTTGAATATACGATTCCGTGTATCCGTTAGTACCTTCTCCAATCACTGTTTTTTGTTAAGAAATTTCTCATTTATTTGCATTTTTATTACAAAAACAATACTCAACATTTACCGAATTCGTAGTCTGATGATACGTAGGTTGATACATGAAGGTTTCTATATATTCCTCTTCTGTTGTAATAGTTATTATTCTCCGTTGTTGTTGTTGTTCTGTAATCAAATCCATTGCCTCTATTGTCATTAACAATATTGATTGTATCATTTGTACTTAATTTAAATTTAATCATTGATTGTGAGAGTACAAAAAATCTAATTTGACGCGTGCCATTGCTGTTCATTTTGGCAACATCATCGAGTGGAAAATAGTCAGTGTATGTGTCTTCGGATGTTATGTAGTATTCACAATTGACAAGAGCTTTATTGGAAAATGAAAATGGTTAATACAAATTCGCTAACTTATACTAGTTAAATATAACTCACCGCCATATTTTTGCATCCGTTTCTTCCAATGTGAACAAGAAGAAGAATATGCCGCTGACCAAATGCCTAACAAAATTAAGAATTTTATTGTTAGTTTCATTACTGAAATATTTGACTGAACTTTGAAAGAGTTTTAAGAAAACGACACACAGCTTGTGCCAAGGCAATTTTAAAAGTGATAGTGGTTTCACGACTGTTGAGAATACTTATATTACAAAGTTGAGAGGTCCCCATTTGTCGTATCTGTAAATGTATGATTACGTAAATATTGTTTACATAGAAATAATCAACAATAGGAGCGAATTCGAAAGTTCAACACCGAGATTAACGCTATCTACCACTATTAATAGGTTTGGTTTTTGAAACATTCGTTTTCAGAGTGATTAAACTTTGGTTTTCAACGATGCATTTTTTACCCGTGTGGAAAAAAAGTGACTGGCTGTCTGACTGCAATTAACTGAAAATGAATTTTGATAACTGAAATCGACCGGGTACACGACTTTAGTCGTCTATTTTTCGGATTTTAAACAGAGGACTAATTTGGGACGTTAGATGGCTATAGCCAACTGTAATTGAAGTTGATTTGAGTTAACTGGCAGTAATTTTGCACACGGAAAATATTTGTGATTTTGCTTTCAACAGATGGAAACGGATGAAACTGATTTGAATCACTTAGAATAAATCAACATTACTAGATAAATGTCTTCAAATGCGTTACTGAAAAAAGTCAGTCAGCAAAAGCGTTATAAAATATATGGACGATGTCACGCTTTTGTTGGCGAACTTTTTTATATAACGCGTCACATACAGTTTTTGAAACTATTGCTGACGTACTTTTTTCTATAATGCATTTGAAGACATTTATCTAGTAATGCTGATTTATTCTAGGCGGTTCATTTATAGATTTTATAGGTGTACTTTGATTTTGAATTTGAATTGCAATAAACATTACACAAAATGTTCTAAACGATCAATGTACGAATCGTCAACATTTTCCACGTTCCTAATTCTAAACTATGTTAATATGCAAACGATAACGATTTGAGACAAATCGATATATTGAAACCTTCCCTTTTTAATAATTCAACGCTGAGAATAACTTTACAAATTGTAAAAAATGATGCAGTTGGACATTCGTGGCATTCGAATGTGTATTTTGAGAAATGCATTCCATTAATTTGATTTACGTGACAATTATTTTTATATATAGACAAAATTTATTTAAAGACTTCAAAGGACTGAGCTTTAATCACGACATTCCCTTGTGGAAAAAAAATGACTGACTGACTATAAATTAAGTCAATTTTAATCACTTTTATTCGGTTAAAATTACCAATAGATGATTGAAATCGAATATAGTCGGTTATGTTTCAGATTTAACTAAAAGGAATTATAGTCAACATAGTTGACAAAAGTCAATTTCATATACTTATAGTTAACCGTAGTTAACTATGATCACAATCGACATTTCTCAACTCAAATTACACGAAGACGCATATAGTCACTTATAGTTAACTTTAGTTGTTTTTTTTTGTCCCAAATTAGTCAATTTTTAGTCGACTATGAAGTCAAAATATTTCCACAAGGGTTTGAAACACAAATATTCTGAAATGCATACGAAAAGTAGTTCAAACAAATTTTCCAAATAAATAAATAAATCAATCGACGAACTTAAGTTGACGATAAGTTTTTGTTTACTTTATCAACATTTTCAAAATATTACTAATTTCAGAATTCAATGTTTTTGCATCGGAAAACTGTGTTTCACCAATAAAACTCACATTCTAGAGAAGAAGAGATCAGGTTGGAGGAAAATTATAAGATTTACATACTCAGTTGTAGCTAAATTCAGCTCGATACAATCTCCACCTTGAATAATATTACTTGACAATTTATTTTTCACATTTTTTCACCGTCACCTTTTTATCACATGTTCAGGAGACGAGTCACATTGCAAAAATACTCAACAAATTATTGATTTCATTGTGATGAGCTCAACTTAAATTTCACTACTTTCACTCCTGCCACGGCTTTGGTCAAATAAATTTACAGCTTTTGCTCTGACTTAAATCTTGATCGTTTTACTTTATAATGGCTCTGTCTTCACCTGTTACCACTATAGATAGGTTATGGTGCAATCATTTGAACCTCAAATTAGACGGCACTTTTCAAACAAGTCCAATATCAGTCAATTTGTGGTCTGATACATACACTCTTGTTGAAATAATTTCTATGAATTATCCAACTTATTCAGTGCATTCGGCAATTATGAATGGAGGACAATCGATTTAAAATTGAAATGTCCAATTCAGTCTTTTTAATAATACTTCGAAGAAATGTTCTCACCATGACAGCATTCAGTGTACGTATGCAAATAGGAAATAGTAATAGTAAGGTGAGATATTAATAGAAAGTGGATAAGTTTATTATTATATTTGTATCGAAAATTTTCATTTCTCACATTCCACTCAAGTTCTGCTCATATCAGCTCAAGAGAATGTACGATGGTTTGGATAGCCGCGGAAATCGATAAATGCAGCTTTAAATAAATGTTGACTTTGATTTCAAAGAAATTTACTTCGTAAACTCCCATTCAGTCCAACATTTTTCAAAACCAAAAATCTGAAACTGACACCATAAAATAACTCAAGGTCACCATCATATCATGCAGCAAGCTCATCAAATGGTAAAATACGACAGAGAATGCTATATCTAAATAGTAAAAAGAGTCATTTGTCTCGTCAAACACAAATTGAGTGATATGGCATGATAACATTTTATCGTATAAAGTATTGAATGTTTTTCATCTGAGATGGCAAAGTGTTTGAAACACGCTGATGATTAATCATTCTGCGATTTGAAAAAAACAATCCACTTAAACATTTTTGTTTATTTAAATTTTTGTATAATATTGGCAATGTTCGTCAATATTTATAGCTAGAATTCTTCGCGAACCGATAAATATGGTCTAAACAATTAAAATTTAATATAAACAGCAGTCAAAATGTCGATGTTGAGCATTGATCATCAACTTCAAGATTTCTTTGGCGTCATCAGTGTTTTGTGCTTGCAGTAGATAAAGACTTCACTTCGGCAAACTTTAATTTTATTTTCCTTTTGGAATAATTCGTGAAAATACAAAATAATGGCCACAATACCGACTTGTAACTGTTGCGGCTTTAAATGTGTTTGGGAAAGCGACTTGCATTCATACTACTGCTGTGTGTGTCGTAAAATTCCAAATACGGAAGCTAATAATGACCGGTGAGTAAAAATATTTTTTTTGAATAGAAAAAAATGTGCTGAATTGTAGGTTGGGCCAATTTCGGACCCGAACATATTTTCTATTTCTACAACAGTTGCAAATAATTTTGGTTTTAATTAGCCCTCTTTTTACTTTTCAATAATTTGATTTTTGAAATTATAGTGAAGGTGATACCAGCGAAAACAAACAGAAGTAAATTTACTCTTCTCTAGAGCAAAGGATTGCGCCCGTCCGAAATTATGGCAATTTAACAAAATCCATTGTATTATCAAATCAAATAAAAAACCTCTATCGAGGTGAAGAACGAGTGACGAAACAAAAAATTTGAAACACAAAATTTCTGATATCAATTTTGTGACGAAAATAGTTGGTAGATATATTTTCTGTGAACTGTGAATATAAACTTAATATACATTTGTA